AAGGCAGAGGAAGGGTGGACTTGTGTGCACCATACGAAACCACAAATAAAATAATTTTAAAATGTTGGTTTTGTCGTAACTTTTGGCTTTATTTATTTTTTATTGTAAAAATCTGCCAATTGTAAAAAAACCCAAAACATTTATTGGAATTATTAGTGAGAGGAGAAAATAGCTCATTGACGTGTTTCTTAGTGAAAAGGAGCTCAGCAAACGAACATCAACTGGATGAGCTCACATAACAACGGATACTGATGGATTGAGCCCATGCTCGTACAAATATGGGAAAAGTGTACAGATAATTTAAAATTTGAAATTATCCTTTTTTTCATAAACTTCATGCCCAATGACCTAGCCCAAAAGTTAAACCACATGTAAGCATCTGTCCCTTTACTCTGTCTTCCTCTTGCTCCAGCCATTCCTCAATCCAGGGCCACTGATCTAGGGTCTTCAGTCCTGGCTGTGAGTTCTAAGGCCCGGGAAATGTAAATACCAGAGCCCCTCTGACTCACCTCCATAGAACAAACAAGCAAGAACGATTCCAATGAACAGGCCTGCCCGGGGGTTTAACATCAGTATTAAAATTATTCTTATACTAGAGAAGAGAAAATATACTAAAAATCTCCATGTAGGCAAACAGCTTTTAAAATTCCCTTTTCTATATAACTTCTTATTCAATGAAATAATATTATTTAGGTCTCCGTACAAACTGTAGGAAAAATTCACCTAGAACTGATTTTCATGCCAGTTTCTACAATAAACTTAAAATAAATAGTATTTTGAATTATTTTTTTTACTTTAAAAAATGTCCCTAGTGTTGTATTGGAGTAGATTAACTCTTTGAAGAAACAAAGACATCCATTTACTTAAAATGAGAAAGAGAATATGGAACAGAAATGATCACTATCACAGAATTACTTGTCGAATATTTGAAATGAAGTGTGTATACTCTGGACAGGTGCATTATGAAGAATAGGTTTGGTAGCTGCTCTTTTGATGGTATTTGAGTTTAACTCTCAGATTCAACACTTTCTCAGTGAACCTGGATGAGCATTTAAAATTTCTAAGCCTAGCCCGGCCAACTGTGGCTCAGCAGTTGAGCATTGACCTAGGATCCAGGGAGATGGAAGTTCGATTCCCGGTCAGGGCACATGCCCGGGTTGTGGGCTCGATACCCAGTCGGGGGCGTGCAGGAGGCAGCCGATCTATGACTCTCATCATTGATGTTTCTCTCTCTCTCTCCCTCTCCCTGAAACCAATAAAGACATATTTTTAAAAAAATTCTAAGCCTACCTGCTCATCCTTAATGATAATTATATACTGTTGTTTTGAGGATTTAAATTTGTGCCTAGCACATAGTAAGAACTTAGAAAGATCAGCCATATAAACGCATGTTTCCCTTCTCCTTTCCTTTGTCTTCTGAGCAGTTTTGCAGTTTAACTTTCCCAAGGTCAGTTAGGTATCAGCCCCCCTGCCCAAAGTCAGAGCTTTTAGGGTATTTCTAGATTGTAAAAACTATTCTCTGTGTCTTGTAATGTTCTCTCTAAAAAAAAACAAGCAATCATGGACAGTATGCATGGAGGAAATCGGAGGTGACGCAAAAGACTGAGTCAGCCAACTGCTATTTTTCCTAAAATTGACCCCAGATGTAGATAAAGATTCAGAGTTTCCATCAAAATAGTATTTTAAATTTAGATGGTGGTGAAACAGTATGCAAAATCAAATCAGTTCTATTGATTCCCTTTTTTAAAAATCAAGATCAGAACATTTCTGGTTTTCTACACTTGATTTATTATCTACTAATAGCAGTAAGAGCACAATATGAACTTGTAACTTGTGGACTATTCCATTTTTACAAGAAAGATTCCAATTTTTTAGCCTAATGTTTAAATGCCAAATCAGTCCCTAGTAATGGAATTGTTGGCTGATGTAAGAAATTGCTTAATTAGTTTTATACAAGTTTTTTAAAATTTTCTGTTGCAATATAAGTTAATAAAACAAAAAAGATGATTCATTTAATCCTTTTGTAAAAGTCACTGTCATTATGCAGGTATTTATCTGTTTCAATCTTGTTTAAATGTACATTATTACAATCTTCTTACTGAGAGTCTTATTTGATTCACAATCATTAAAGATTTAAAAGATTAAAATTTTAAAACACTTGATTATTTCTTTGGCTGTAGATGTACAATTTTTTTGTCATTATTTTAAAATGAAGGCTATGTGTTTTCAATAATCACTATTTTAAAAGAATTATTTGGTTCTCATTCATGTACCATGATTTTTTTATATTCTGTTGAATAATTGACTATAGATGTATCACTGAAAGGATAACAATTAAGTATAACAAACACTCTTAAAGCAAATCTTAATTTTAGATATGCTAAATGTGAAAAATGTGTAATTTTAAAATGTGGAAAATATGATGTATTTTGCCTAAGGATTTTTAACAACTTTAAGTTGGCAAAACCTCTAGAGACTGACTCTCATTTTTAACACATATCTGAGATTTTCAGAATTAGTGAAAATCCCAAGTGATGGATATGTGTTAAAGTATACTCACATTCTATCTCGATCTACCACATGAGAAACATGAAAAACTTTTTTCTCCATTCTTTTATACCCTATTTACTTCTTAATAAATAATATACGTAAATTATGCTTGCCCTTTTGCTCTCCACCTCCAAAAACTTGGTACCTTCTCAGCAAAGCATATCTTTATTTGAGAGGGTTCTGTTAGCTTTAATTTTCATACAATGTATAATGAGTATTACATAACCCTGAATATCTCCTCAGAATCCAAGCTTTGTGAAGGTATGGGCTTTGTTTTAAAAACTCCCTTGCCTGGAATACTGTGCAGCTGTAAAAAAGAAGGATCTCTTACCCTTTGAGACAGCATAGAGGGACCTGGAGAGTATCATGCTAAGTGAAGTCAGACAGTCAGAGAAAGACAAATATCAATGATCTCACTTATATGTGAAATCTAATGAACAAAATAAACCTATGAACAAAAAAGATCCAGAGACACTGAAGCATGCAACAGACTGATGTATTTCAGAGGAAAGGGGAGGGGGTGGGAAGAGATTAACCAATGAACTTATATCCATACATGCATAACTTATGGACAAATAATAGTGTGTGGAAGGCCTGGGGACCGGGCAGAAGCTGAGTGGAGAGGGTCAATGGAAGGAGGGGAAGGGAGACATCTATAATACTTTCAACAATAAAGATAAGTATAAAAACAACAAAATTCCCTTGCCGGTCACTAATGCTGTCTGGACAACCAGTAGGTATTTAATAAACATGGATTGAATTAATGAATTAAAAAGGAGTAATTGTATTCTTTTGTTATGATTAATATACATATTAATATTTTCAATATCAGCATAAAAGGAGCACTAGAAAGAGAGCAGAAATGAATGCAGATGGGGGCAATAATTTAGTCTTGTTCCTCCTAGTGAATTATGCTGTGACATGAACCTCCATTGCTATGTTTTTTTCTCTTCGTATTTGAGGTGTTGATGTTATTTAGTATCTGGTGGCATGCTTTGATTTCCAAATGCTTTGAAAATATTCTCTTCCCACTCCTTTGTACTCTATATAATAAAGCAATCTCTCAGCAATATAGTGATCAGAGTGTTGATGGTACTTACAACTGAGTCCAGGAAGAATGTAAATCAGAATGAGGCTTCAACGAGTTCCCCTCCCTCCAAACCCCTATGTTAACAAATTGGTATTTAAATTTTCTCTGTTCAAGTAACTGATATGGTTCCTGTCTCCTGACTCGAATCTGACTGACACAATGAATGAATTATATATAAACTACAATGCTGGTGACAATTCCCACATCACAAAATTTTATTGGAATGATTGCCAGGGAGTTCTTAGTTATTTCTATATTTATAAAAAACGTTTTAAAAACACACCTCAAGAAAATGAACCATTATAATGGTTCATTGCTTATTAAGATGTATATAGTACTCATAATTTTTTTTTTCTGTATCACTCTTCCGGAGTCAAAAAGGTAATTGTTTTCCAAAGAAGAGAATGATATAAGAAGAGCACAATAACCTCTGGTTTAATCATTTTAAAGTGCTTTAAAAGTTCTCACACATGTTTCTTCTATTGTGTCAGAAAGAAATCTGACTTGACTAAGGGGATAAAGCTTTATTAAGTGCAATAAATGAATGAAGTGTTTCTCCTCTAATTTTACTATTGTATACTTTGACAAAAGTGCTTGTCTTCATTGATGTCTGTGTGTGTGTATGTGGGCTCATCTTGACGCTCCATCAACCACTTCCTGGGGCCCTGGGCATTGAGCAGATCTGCCCATGAAGACCACTCAGCACAGAAACTGTACATTTGCTTGGAAGTGCCTGTTTCCTCTAGGCCAAAAATATGGAGCTTTCCCCCCCAAAGTAATGTATTATACATTTTTATACTTACATATTCTCATTTTCATCATGGATCATAAATAAATGTGTTATCTTTAGGAATCATAAGTTGCATAACATCTGGAAGCATTTTTTTAACCTAATCCGGGCATACAGTATTTGATTATTATATTCAAGATTGTGAAGGTTTATTATATTCAAAGTATGAAAAATTAGTAAGCAAATCGCATTTAAAATTTTACTTTATCTATTGTTTTGGAATACTTACCATATTACATGTAATTTTGGGATGCTTAGGAAGAAAATGCTAAATCATCATTTTCTTGCTTTGGAGACTATTAAAAAGTTGAGACTGTTCATTTGTGCTGCATTATTTGCAGGTAGCTAAGTGTTTATATTTGTTTTATTAGGGATATTTTGAGTGAACTTGAAGTAGTTAACTGAATACCATCAGAACATTTAAACTGCACAGTTATGAAGGTGGGCGTTAATGGCTTATAAAGAACTTTCATTTGTAATATACTCAAATGTCTACAAAGATACTGTTGCCAACAAAACAAAGAATTTGGTAAAAATCCTACTGTATTATCTTGTTTCCCATTCTCCTACAGAAAACTGCTTTCAGAAGCCTCTTACTAATGGGATTTTGTTACAGTCATCTGTTTGGGGGATTAAAAAAAGAGGTGAGTACCGTTGTTTGAATTCTTTGGTACTGTTAATTCAGGCTTGATTTACAAAGAATGAAAGAAATCTGACTTGACTAAGGGGATAAAGCTTTATTAAGTGCAATAAATGAATGAAGTGTTAATAACCTAAAATATTAATGTTGAGTGGACAGATGTGCACCATGTGAAAAAGTTAACTACCAATTTGTATGTTTACCCTGTGCAAGGACAGTTTTAAATGCTTTACATTTAAGCCTCATCACAATTCTGTGAGCTAGATACTGTTATTATCCCCACTTTACAGCAAGAAAACTGTGGCACAAACAGGGCAAGTATCTTGCTCAGGCTTCCATATCTAATAAATGGTAGAGGCTAGGAGTTAAACCCATACAGAGAGGTTCTGGAATCCATGTAGTTAAACACTGTGAAATACTGAGGTTTGAGAGGAAACTACTGTTCAATGATAGTTTACCATTTCAATGATATGTGGCATACTAAATTGCTTGTACTTTAGATATGTCATATTTGCTGTGAAGCCAGGCCTCAATTGAATTCCTTCAGCACAAGTTATTACCATTCATAGGACCACTGATGCTGCAAAATTAATACTACTGTAGTTACTATTATCATTAAGGAAAAAACCCCTTAGAATTTTAAGTTGTAAAACTTTTGGTCTCCACATTTTCAGTCAAGAGAAGGGCTCAAATAAATTTCAGTCCTATGTCTCATCCAGAAAGGACTGGCAAGCTTTAGCAACCAAAATTAGAATCCACCCAGAATTCATAATGTTGGCATTTTGAAGAAAATGCAAATTTTCTGCTGTTTTATCCCATTCCCTTTGGCATAATGTGGCTTCCAGTCTTTAAAATAATTATCTTTGCCAACACTGCTTTCAAAAAGTAGAAATAAATAGAAATGACACACAGACAACATTGTTCACATAACTGAAGTGACTGTGGGATAATTATAATGAATATTAACAAGTATATTTTTAAAAATTTTAGACAACAGTCAGAATAGCCAGATTTTTTAGTTTTATCCTTTCATGACTTTAAATTTAAACCTTACTTCACAAAAATCTACAAGTCAGTAACCTGAATTAGAAGTAGTTTACTAAAGGGAATTTAGTATCATAAAATTATATATATATATATTTATATTTATATATTTATATTTATATTTATTTATATTTATATATATAGTTTATATATATTCATATATAATTTTGTTTTAATTTTTATATGTACTATAAATATAGTGAAGAAAGATTGTTTTGAAAAGCAAATTAATTTAAAAATCTGCTATGTAAGGAATTAACTTTTTGTCATAAAATATGCATTACAGAATAGTTATCATTTTAACCATTTGTAAGTGTAATACAATGGCATTAAATATGTTCACAAAGTTTAATAATCATCACCATTATCTATCCCTAAAATTTTTTCATCATCCTTGCAAAAACTTCTGTACCCATTAAATAATAATTCCCATTTCCCCTTCCCACCAGTCCCTGGGACCTCTATTCTACTTTTTGTCTCTATGAATTTGTCTATTCTAGGTACCTCATATAAATTATATTTTGGAATATTTGTCCTTTTGTGTCTGGCTTATTTCACTAAGCATAATCTTTTAAGGTTTATCCATATTTTATATTCCAGTGTGTGTGTGTGTGTGTGTGTGTGTGTGTATGTGTGTGACATTTTGTTTATCTTCTCATCTGTTGATGGACACATGGATTTTTCCTACCTTTGGCTTTTGTAAATAACCTTGTTATGAACATTGGTATACAAATACCTGTTGGAGCCCTGTGGACTCCAAGAAGAATATACCTGCCAAAAAGGGTGCTTATGGTTAATTGGGCTCAAATTCGTAAGCAGAGTCTAGAAGCCATCCTTGTCCCTCACACATGCTGCATTTCAAGGAAAAGCCAGAGACTGGGCTGCCTGGGCTCCTGCTCTGTGCTCTCTTACTCCGAGCCAACCTTATAAGAGAGCTTCCAGGACCAAAATTCAACCAATGGGACTGAGGCTTTCCCTGTCCAATAGGAGCTGCACAGCTTTATCATTATTTGCATCTTCACCAATCAATCAGAGTGGCTTCATTCCAACCAATCAGGGTGGTACCATTTGGATCAATCAAACTGTGAGGATTTAGAATACTTACTTGCATAGAAATAAACCCATCAGGGATGAGGGATGGGCACTCTTCAGATATAACTCAGTATCTCCTCTGTCTTGGTGGAGTGAACCTTAGTTTCCATCCAAGACCGTGTTTCCCCGGCTGGATCAGCAATATTGACTGGAGCTGTCTTGCCGGAACAGAGCAAAGCTGTCTCATGGGAGGGGAGCACAGCTGTATCCCCAGACCAGAGCTGTAACTCTGGGCTGCCCCTCCTGAGCTATTCTACAGATGTGCTGTTCCACAGCCATGCTGTAGCACAATTGACCTTTTTTGCACTTAATAGTCTTCCTCTTCACTGCACCCCAAATTGGGGACTCCTGTTTGTGTTGAATTGGTGGTGATGACCTTTGATTCACAGTCCTTATTTAGATTTATTGCTAAAAATTATATTGTTAACTTTTTACACACACACACACACACATGCATATGAACCACTGTATCATTTTCCACAGTGGCTGCACCAGTTTACACTCCCATTAGTAATCACCAAGGGTTATAGTTTCTCTATATTGCCATCAATATTGTTATTTTCCATTTAAAAGTTATAACCATCCTACTAGGTATGAAGTGGTATCTCATGAAGATTTTGATTTGCATTTATCTAATTATTAATGATGTTGAGTATATTTTCATGTTTATTGGCTATTTGTATATCTTTGAAGATATCTGTTCAAGTCCATGGCCCACTTTTTAATTGCAGGTGGTTGTTTTTTTGAGTTGTAGGAGTTCTTTATAATTCTGAATTTTAATCCCTTACCAGATACATGATTTGAAAATATTTTCTCCCATTCAGTAAGTTGCCCTTTTGTTTTCTTGTTGATATGCAAAAGTTCTTAATTTTGATAAAGTCCAATTTATCTATTTTTTATTTTGTTACCTGTTCTTTTGGTCTTCTGTCCATGAACATGAGTTGTCTTTTTATGTATTTAGGTCTTGAATTTATTTCAGCAATATTTTGTAGTTTACAGTGTACCAGTCTTTTACCTCCATGGCTAGATTTATTCTTAAGTATTTGATTATTTTAGGAGCTATTACAAGTGCAATTGCTTCCTCAATTTCCTTTTTGGGTTGTACATTGCTGGAGTAAAGAAACAACTGACTTTTGTGTGTTAATCTTGTACCACACAACTTTGATGAATTTGTTTATCACTTCTAATAGTGTTCTTGTGTGAATCCTTTAGGGTTGTCTGTAGGTAAGATTTTACTCTGGTAACCACCGATCTGTTCTCCAACACCATAATTTCATCTTTTCAAGAATGTCATATAAATGGATTCACACCATATGTAATCTTTTGAATTTGGCTTTTTTCCCCTTCCCACTTAGCATAATGCCCTTGAGATCCATCCAAGTTGTTGTGTGTATTGGTAGTTAATTCCTTTTACTTAATGAATACTTTTCATTGTATGATGATATCATAGTTTGTTTATTCATTCATCTGTTAAAAAACATTTGTGTTTGTTTCCAGTGATTAGCTGTTATGAAAAAGCTGCAAAGCACATTCATATACAGATTTTTGTGTGAACCTAAGGTTGTGTGTGTGTGTGTGTATGTGTATTTTTAAGATAAATACCCAGGAGTTCAATTTCTGGATCTTATGGTAAGTGTATATTTAGCTTCATACGAAACTGCGTAACTGTTTTCTAGAATGACTACATCATTTTATGTTCTCACTGGCATTCCTAAAAGGTCCAATTGCTCCTCAACAGCACTTGATATAGCTAGCATTTTAGCTAGTCTCATTGAGGTGTATCTCATAGTGGTTTTAATTTGCCTATCTCTAATAGCTAATGAAGTTGAACATATTTTCAAGTGCTCATTTGCCATTGGTATATGTTCTTTGATGAAGGGTCTGTTCAAGTCTTCTGACATATTCTAATTAGATTGTTTTGCTACTGTTGAATTCAAAGAGTTCTTCATATTTTGTGATATGTCTTTACCATATATATGATTTGTAAATATTTTTGTCTAGTCTATGGCTTGTCTTTAAATCACTTTTACAAGCTATTTCATAGAGGAAAAGTTTTTAATTTTGGTAAGATATAATTTTTCTTTGGTTATGTGTAGTGATTTAGATGTCTTAAGTATAGTGATAGTTATGTCTAAGAATTCTTTGCTTAGCTACAGGTCACAAAGATTTTCTTTCATATTTTCTTCTAAAATTTTTATAGTTATACACTTTTCTGTGAGATCTATGATCAATTTTGAGTTAGTTTTTACAAGATGTGAGGCTTAGATTTTCTTGTTGTTGTTTATGAAATTCCAATTTTTCCAACAAGATTTGTTGAAAAGTCTATCCTTCCTTCATTGAATTGCTTTTATACTTAAAAAAACTCAAAGTAGACCTACTTATGTAGGTTTATTTGTGGACTCTTTATTCTGTTCCATTGATCTATGTGTCTATACTTTTACCAATTCCACATTTTTTTGGTTACTATAGTTAAAAAGTAAGTCATAACATTAGATGGTGTGATTCCTCATTCTCTTTTCAAAATATATTTTAGGTTATCCTCCAATATAAATTCTAGAACCTGCTTGTCTATATTTCCAAAAATTATTGCTGAAATTTTGATAGACATAGTTTGCATCTAATAAATTTAGGGAAAATTCATATGTTGCTATGATGAGTCTTCTAATCTATGAACACAGTGTGTCTCCATTTAGTTAGGACTTATTTGATTTCTTTCAGTGGCATTTTGTAGTTTTCAGCATACAGACTATGCACATGTTTCATTAGATTTACAACTAAATGTTTTTATGGCATTATAAATGGCACTGTGTTTTAAATTTGGGTTTCTAGTTATTCATAGCTTGCATATAGAAATACACTCAATCTTTG